GTTTTTTGTTTTTAGGGGGAGGGGTGGGCTTTTAAAAAAAAAAAAAAAAAAAAAAAAAAAAGGAATTCACTCATACACAAGGTGACCTTTTGTGTTTGGGTTCCCTCTCTCACATTGAGCAGGATTTTCTCAGAGGGATCCACCTGTAATTGCTGAATGGAAGAATAACATTTGATTGCAAGGGTAGTTCATATCTTGTTTATCCACTAATTTATTGATGGATCTTTGATGTGTTTATCCATTTTGGCTACTATGCTGTTAGGAACATTTGTCTACATGTTTTTGTCTGAATACATATTCATTTTTAAGATTGATTTATTTTTATCTTTTAATTCAATCAGAGAGAGACAGAGAGAGAAAGTGAGAAAGCAAGCCACCAGGTCTAGAACTCAGACTCTGTTGGCCATGTGGGAGACCAGCACCTTAACCTCCATGCCACGTGCCAGTCTCATGAATGCAGATTTCTAATTATTTGGGGTACCTATATAGAAGTGAGGTTGCTGGTCATCTGATAATTCTTTGGTAATTTTGGAGGGAGTTGACTCTATTCCATGTTGGCTGTAACGGCTTACATTCTCACTAGCATTGTTTGGTATCAGGATAATTCTGGCTTAATAGAATGAGTCAGGGAATATTTCCACCCATCCTATTTTTTTTTTAAATAAAAAGTATTACAAAGAGTAGGTGACTTTTAAATTTTTTTTTCTTTCTTCGGTAACCAGAGAGACAGAGAAAGAAGAGTTAGGGGCACTCCCATTTGGCGAATGAGTGTTCTAGACAGAGTTGATTGACTTCTGTTCTTAACCCCATCTCAAAATAGACCTGTTAGTTAGGCCCACAGGTAGTGTGGAGGTTAGGGCAGCTGGATTTCGCATGGTCAACTTCATGGTTCGCATCCCAGACCCAGTGGGTTGAAAATCATGCCAGAAACATGTGCATGGATGCCCAAAATCCTGAGAGGTGGATGGAGAAGGGATTGTGGTGTGGCCATTCCCCTGGAGGGTGATTTCTCACTTTCTCTCTCTCTCTCTGTCTCTGTCTCTCTCAGAAAGTTCACACTCCCCACAACAACCCCAAAAAAAAAAAAAAAAAAAAAGGAAGAAAGAAAGAAAGAAAAAAGAAAAGAAAGAAAGGAAGAAAGAGTTAGACTCATTGTTAAAGCCCGGAAGACCTCCAGGACTGCCCCCCAGGAGCCCAGTCCATGTCCTCTCTCAAGTCTGATAGACGGGAGGAAGGTCACACGTTTCCACCTCATGTCCCTGAGGGCCTCTAGCATGGCATGGACAGCCTATCTCCTGTCCTGTAATAGTCACCATTGTCCCCAGGCTGAAGTCCCCAGGCTGAGGCCAGGAGCGTGGACCTGGAGCCAGAGCACTCCCTATGATCCCAAGGACTGTTTGTTCCTCCTGTGGGTCAGGGTCTGGGGACCTGGCCTGGGCACTACAAGAGTCAAGATACCTAGATACCTGCATGGAAAAAATATTCAGTACGTGTTGTTAATGTCTCAGAATAGTAGAGAGAGAGAGAGAGAGAGAGAGCGCCACTGTAACCTTCTGTCCCCACCTCGTGCATTTGGCTACATTGGGAGGGGACTGAGATTCCTCTCACGAGTTCTGGTCTGTTCCACTCGAGACATGCAATTGTCCCTCCCCTTTGCACCCAGGTATTTCTCATTTCGATGGGTTCATCTGCTGCTTCACTGACAATATCGACCCCATCTTTTCATGCACACAGCATGTGATGGGTATTTATTTTCTACAGTAAGTGTGGGGTGAGGCCTAGACACTCCGAGACCTACCGTCACTGCACGCATGCCCTGAGTGAAATGAAAAGCAAAGGATCAATGCCGTGAGAGGGGAGGACCAGAAGGAGAGCAACCCAGGCCATGGTGGACACAGCCCCTGGCCTCTCTTAGACCCTTCCCGCTGGCTTAGAGAAGGGGAGACTCATGCAAATATGTCCCCACCCCCAGCCTCTCCATCTTGCTCTTAACGCTGCAGGTAGCACGGGGAAGGTGGAGGACAAAGAGGCTCCTGTGGGCCTGCTGGGCAGGACCTGCAAGGAGGCAGGTGCCCGGATTGCACCCAGAGATCACCGCTGCTGAGTCTGCATCAGTGAACCCAGGCCCACTCCCTGCTGGGCCCCCCAGGCCTGCCGTCCTTTGAGGACTTCGCCTGTGAACACAGCCCAGAGGCCCTCCCATAGCGCCCCCTGCTGACCACACGTGGAATTCAGGCTCCTGGACCTTCCAGTCTTTCTGCTCTTTTCACCTCCTCACTGTGGATCCACAGGGGGACTGAGGGGGTGGCAGGACCAGCTCTGGGCTTAGCACGAAGTTGCTGATATTAGCAATTCTATATTTTTGAGGGGCTTGTGATTTCAAAGGGAATACTGCCAAGAACCAGTAATAACTCACGAATATAAAAAGTACCTCCATCAGACGTGTCACCCCTAGACGTGCTCAGGACTTGGGGCATGGAGGGCTCTCCGGGAACGCCTGGTGCTCAGGCACTGTGAGCAGGTCCATTTGCTCAGGAGGAAATATGCTGAGCAGGTGTCTCTGTCCGTCTGGGCGGCAATTATATATACACAGCCCTGGGACCCAGTGATGACGCAGTGGGGACGTGCCACTCTGCAGGGCTGGCCCCACGTGGGGTGGTCTGCGGTCCATGTCCTAAGGTCTCCCTGTGCACGCCAAGCACACGAACATGTGCCCATGGTCTGAGCTGGGTGAGGCTGAAGGTTGATCACCATGGGAAGACCCCGTTGGGGGTGCCTGTGGCCTTTTCTCTCTGTGTCTCTCTCCGACTCTGTCTCTATCATGGAATAAATAAATAAGTACAATTATTTTTATTTATTATTTACTAAATAATAAATATTATTTATTAAAACCCCACAGTTCTGGAGTCTCAAAAGGTAAAATCAAAGCACTGACAGTTTGGGACCAGCAGTTGGCATAATGGCTATGTTGCTGGACTCCTACATAATGGACCACGGTTCAAGTCTCGGACCCGGTGGCTTAAACTCATGCCAGGCATGTGTGCATGCATGCCCAAGATCCCGAGAGGAGAATGGAGGAGAAGGGATTGCGGTGTGGCCATCCCCCCCAGGGGGTGATTTCTTGCTTTCTGTCTCTCTGTCTCTCTCTGTCTTTCTGGTGAGTGCACACGCCCTATAGCAAAAACCTCTCCGGAAAAAAAAAGCACTGACAGGTCCGTGTCTGGTGGGGGCCTGGCCCTTGCACTGACAGTCTTCTCACTGTGACCCTCATGGACAACCACGGGGCAACAAGGAACTGGCCTTTGCCATTTCCCAGGCCCTCCTCTGGCCCTCCCTGAGAGGCCTGCACTGTCTCCTCTGCTAACACCAACCATCCTCACCTTCTCGGGGAAAAGCTCCACACATAAATGACAATAGAAATATCGGGTCGTCAGGAAAGTCCTGATGCATTTTTTGCATAGGAAAAATGCGTCAGGATTTTTCCAACAACCTCATGCTAACACTCGCGTGTGCAACCTCCCTGCTCGAGCTGGGGTGGTGGCTGCCGTCCTCGGGGGAGACAGCATTTCCCCAGGGGTTCATGTCGTCTTTCCATTATTTGCTGAACATTGCCTTGACCTCGGCTGGCTAAGGCAGGGGTGGATTGAAGCATCGAGACCCTAATGGGGGTACCTATCTCTCTGTCTCCCTCTCTCTTTTCCTCATGAAGAAAAGAAACTTAAAAATGAATGTATTCAAAGCAATGCATCAGCTGTAACGAATACACTAGGACAGTGTTAATCACAGAGAAAATTAGGGGTGGAAGGAGAAGGGACTTATGGGAACTGTGTGTATTTCCGGTCCAATTACTCTGTAAACCTACAACTGCTGTTAAGACATAAAAATCCATTAGGCTGGCAGGTGGCGTGGTGGTTGAGGCACTGCATTCCACATGGCCAACCATGGTTCAAGTCCTGAACCTGCCAACTTTCTCTCTCTCTCTCTCTCTCATCTTTCTCTGGTCAAAACTGAAGAATAATGATGATAAATAAAATTAAAAATTATTCTTTTTTAAAAGAAATAAAATCTATTAATTAAAAGGGCAAAAAATAGGGACCAGTAGGTGGCGTGGTGGTTAAGGCACTGGACTCCCACATGACCAACTGTGGTTCAAGTCCCGGACCTGGTGGCTTGCTTTCTCACTTTCTCTCTCTCTCTCTCTCTGTCTCTCTGGTCAAATTGAAACAATAACAATAATAAATAAAATAAAGTTTTAAAAAGGGCAAAAAATATAATGTGATGCCATTTTAAAAAAAGGAATTTTGTTTGTGTGCCTATGTTTGTATTTGCATTTTTTAAAAGTTGTTTTGCAATGGGGCACTTCGCTCATCAGAGAGAAACAGAGACAGAGAGAGAGGCAAAGTGAAAAATCAGCCCTATAGGGGGGTGGGGAGGTGGCCATGCCACAATCAATTCTTCTCCATTCTCCTCTAGGGGTTTGGGGTACACATGCACATACACCCCTGTGTTTTTCAAGCCACTGGATCTGAAACTCAAACCACACAGTCAGCCAAGTGGGATCGAGTCCTCTAATTGCTTTGCTCTCTGTTGGCCCTATTCACATTTTTTTAAATCTGCAAAGATCTATACCAAAATGTTTGCAGTGGTAGGTTTGGAGTTTTAGGATCATGGATGATCTTTACATTTTTTTGTTTTTCTGTTTTTTTTTTCTTTTTTGCAATATGCATGTATTACTGTTAAAATCATAAGAAACTATAAAACAATTTGTCCACAAGAAAAAAAAAAAAGAAAAGAAACCCCAAATCTCTTTTTAAGTGTGATTTTTTCATGCCTTAAAAAAAAAATGTTTGCCGAGTAGAATCACACGAAGGCGAGGCTGCTGTTCAAAGACAAAAGAGTGGGTTTCAAAAGCAGAGGAGCGAAGCAGAAGCGATTGTGTCATGGGATGGGAGGAGTGTTTGACTTGCCCTGGGGAAATACAAAGACCAGACTTCCTGCCTTTCACTTCCAAGGAAAAGAAACCGAAAGCAGCCGAGGCTTGCCAGCTAGAAGAATTCAGAGTTCCCTGAAGGCTGCTCTGCTGTCACCGGATCCCTGATCTCTGCCAGAGGGTGGTGATGGATCTCAGAAGTACCCCCGCCAGGAGCCTCGACAAGTTCATCGAAGACAACCTCCTGCCAGACACCGAGTTCCGCCTGCAGGTCAAGAAAGCCATCAACATCATTTCCGATTTCCTGAAGGAAAGGTGTTTCCAAGATGCCAGCTGCTTTGCTAAGAGGCCGAAGGTAGTGAAGGTGGTGAAGGTGAGCCCAGGCCTGCCTGGCTGTGGGAGGGGTGGCTCAGTGGGAAGGAGTCTGACAGGGAGGAAAAGACAAGACTCCAGAGTGCAAATGTGAGTTTGGAGAGCCAAGATCTTTGGGGCTGGTGATTTCTGATGTATCCATAGCAAAGACAGAACAGCTTGTTAAGGGACCAGCAGTTGGTGTAACGGCTATGTCACTGGACTCTCACGTAGTCAACTGCGGTTCGAGTCCCAGACCCAGTGGCTTAAACTCACATTGGACGTGTGTGCGTACATGCCCAAGATCCCGTGAGGAGAATGGAGGAGAAGGGATTGCAGCATGGCCATCCCCCCGCCCTCCCCAGGGGGTGATTTCTCGCTTTCTGTCTCTCTGTCTCTCTCTGTCTTTCTGGTGAGCACACGCATCCTATAGCAAAAACCTTTCCAAAAAAAAAAGAACAACTTGTTAAAATAGATTCCAGGTGGGGCCAGTCAGTGGTCAATAGCAGTTTTGAGTCCTAGACCCGGCAGCTTGAAACTCACACTCTCACTGTCTCTGTCTCTGTCTCTCTCTCTGGTGAGCACACATGCCCTAAAGCAAAAGCCTCTACTAAAAAAAAAAAAAAAAAAAGAAAAAGGACTGGTCTTGATCATGCCCATTACAGAAATAGGGAAATTGAAGCCCAGCTCTGGTAAGTATTTGCTGATTAGCAACCAGGCTGAGTACTAGTCATTTCTGCAGTCTGGTGCAGAAAGCAAGAATCCCCCCAGCGGGATGGCCACACTACAATCCCTTCTCCTGCATTCTCCTCTCAGGATCTTGAGTATGCACACCCATGCAACCAGCATGAGTTTTTACATCACTGGGTTCAGGACTCGAACCACGATCAACTACATGGGAGTCCAGTGACGTAACCATTACACCACCTGCTGGTCCCAAGAGTATAAACGTGAGCAGGTGACTTAGCTTTTTGTGTCCCAATTTCCTCAGCTATCATTCTCACTATCTCATAGAGCCTGGAGGTACAGAAAAACAATGTGTTGGAACCTCCTAACACCAGCCAGTCTGGGGCATGTACTATAAGGTGACAAATGACAAAGGGAAAAGAACACAGACCCGAAAATAAGGCACCCAGGGTTGGATCGCCACCTGCTATCTGAATGACGGGGGGCCCTCACTGACCGCGTCTACCCACCTCACAGATGAGAACTAACAGTGCCAGGGCCTAAGTCGTAGCGCCATCGTGAGCAGAACAGGAACTGAGACGTGTAACGCCCTCGGAACAGCGGCTGGGGCTCTCTAATGTTAGTGACCATTCTTGTCATTTTACTTAGGGAGGCTCTTCAGGTAAAGGCACCACCCTCAGGGGCCGCTCTGATGCCGACCTGGTCGTCTTCCTCAGTCCTCTCACAAGTTTTCAGGAGCAGCTAACGCGCCGGGGAGAGTTCATCCATGAAATTAGGAGACAGCTAGAAGCCTGTGAAAGACAACTATTATTCAACGTGAAGTTTGAGGTCAAGAGTCGACAGTGGGACAACCCGCGTGTGCTCAGCTTCAAGCTGAGCAACCCCCATCTCTGGCAGGAAGTGGAATTTGACGTGCTACCCGCCTTTGACGCCCTGGGTGAGGCTGCCACGCACAGGGGTTTCCTCCTCTGTCCTGCAACCCAGCTTCTCCTCCCCTCTTTTACTATTTCAGACATCTCCTGTGGTCTCAAAGTTCTACCCAAACAGGGTATCTCTTTATTTCAAACAGGGAGTGGGGTGGGGTTTGAACTCTCTCCTAAGGTCATAATGAATAAGGTCTTAAACCAACCATCATGAAAAAGACCTTCAATAGCAAGTTGGAGACAAAGACGTTTCTTACAGAACGTCTGCAAAGCTTCTTGGTTTTACGTGGGGTGAAGCGTGTGGATTTTCTCTTTCTAAAACTGGGGTAGCAGGGGCCAGCAGGTGGTGTAGTGGTTAAAGCACTGAACTCCCACATGGTCAATTGTGCTTCGAGTCCCAGACCCAGCAGCTGGAAAACACACCAGGTACGTGTGCGTGCATGCCCAAAATCCGAGAGGAGAATGGAGAAGGGATTGCAGCGTGGCCATCCCCCCAGGGGCGATTTCTCACTTTCTGTCTCTCTGTGTGTCCCCAGAGAACACACATACCCTATAGCAAAAATCTCTCAAAAGAAAAAGAAAAAAAGTAGCATAGATCTGGCTCAAAGTAACATGTTCATTTCCTCTTTCTTCCAAACCATGAGGAAACATCAAAGCTGAGGGTAGGATGAACAGGTTAGATTTTACGTTTTTCAAGGGAAACAGCGACATCTGTTGGACATCACAGAAAGTGCTACTGTTCAGTCATTGGAACTGAACTACTTACTAAATGAAATTGTTAAGAGATTTCTTTAGGCTCAGGGGAACTGTGAAAAAAATCCCAAAGCATCAGGGACTGAGAAACCACAGGATTCTCTCCTTTTTTGCTATTTCTCATCTTGGGTGCCAGAGTGCAATGGTTACCAAAAATAAAACAGAGAGAGGAGAATACTGTGCGTACAGGGAACTGCCCAGGCGAAGGCCTAGAGGTAACAAGATGACATAAAATACTGTGTTGAAACCTCCCAGCACCAGCCAGTCCAGGGTGCCTACTAGGACGTGTAATATAAAGTGAGCTGGGGAAACTGCAAGAAGTGAGGCTGAAGGGAGTGGAGAGGGCGAGGTGGAAGTAACTCAGAAATAAGCTGAGAGGGTGCGGTTCCCACAGAGCGTGTGATCTGGTAATGAACTTCTCCTGAGCAGAAGTTTTCCACGGGAAGCAACAGATCAGGTTTGTGTTTGAGAAGTGTTTGTGTTTGACCGCAGTGTGGGAAACAGATCCAGCCAGAGGTGAAACCGGAGAAGGGAGATAGCTCGTTAGCAACTGTAAGCAATTGATAATCCACTGAGCATTTCCGGTGTGCCTGGCCCTGTCCTAAGGCCGTGAATAAGCCAGGCAAGAAACCTGTCATCCTGGAGCCTGACAGTCAACATACAAACAAGAGGACGGGCAGATGGCTTAATGGTGACGTTGTTGGACTCCCATGTAGTCGCCCGTAGTTCAAGTCCCGGACCCGGCG